CCCCCCCACCAAAGCCCTCCCCAGCACCCGGCCCCCACTGGGCTCCAGCAGCTCCTACCAGTGGCGCACAGAGCGATGAAGGTCTGAGCATGCTTGCGGATCAGAGACAGCTTCTCGCTGGGCTGAGGCAGCTTGCGAAGGATGTGCTCGATGAAGTCATGGGGGGTGACGGCCGCCAGGTTCCACTTCAATTTGCCCAGCACCACCAGCTCCCACTCCTGGGGACGGAGGGAGGAAGGGGAGAGTATAAAACCCACAGGCCGACCTGGCATCCGGGACTGGGGGCTTGGCGTCCAGACCAGTCTTCATAACGATTCTCATTAGGACACACAGCGAGATTGGAAGGCGGGGCCATTTATCTGAGTGGCCCTAAAGCTTTGAAGTGGGTGAAGGCTCTTCTTAGGCTTCAAAGGTCAGGCTCCACTGAAAATAATGAGAGCCCAGGTGGCTGTTGCCAAGATGGTACTTTCTTCTATTTCTCTGCCTCTCCAGCTCCCCGACCCACACCCAACCCTGACTTCCATTCCAGGGGACGCTTCTGCCCGCCCACCCAGAAGGTTGAATCTACAGTAAGATACCGCCAAGGTCATTGTAGCCCTTTGGTAGCATTTTATTGTGTATCTATCACCAGATTAATAGTCTTTTTAATCCTCGTGGAAAAATGATGTACACAGAATAAAGCTCAAAATTAGGTTTCTTGGCCCAAATCCTTGGCAACCAATTAGCTTGCTCGTAGTTGGTGCCAAAAAGTGCCATTTTTCTCTCTGCTGCTAAAACTTTCCCCATGACACATAATGCAGAAATCTTGGGAAATGATACCCAGACACGGGGCACCCTTCCACTTGAATGTTTCACAGGCCTTTGTTACCATGACTGAAGGACCTCATGGTCACTGGCAACCCCACTGTGCAGCTGGAGGTGATTCAGGGCAGGGTGAAGGTCCTTGTTCAAGGTCATACAAGCCCGCAGCCCAAATGCTGGCACCGTGCAACCCTGTCTCTCGTGGGCCTCTCACCAGCAGCCCACCTAGTGAAAAACCTTGTTTCTCTCCCTTATTGGGATACGTTGGGGGAAACTGTGCTCAAAGGGAAACAAGCCAAAGAGAAAGCCTTAAAACTACGTGCAGTCAGAGGGAAAAACAGGCCTATCGATCTATCGTCATCAGCAGAATGAGCGACCAGTTTACCAGTGTAGTCCGTTCCCCCATTCACCCCAAGATACCTACTGTCTTCTGCCTGCTAAGCCGGCCACCGGAGCCCTATTCTGCCTGCGACCCACAGCACCGGCTGGCTGTGTGGTCTGGGCCAATTCCCTCCCCTTCCCTGGCCTCGGCTTTCTTGTTGGTGAAATAGGAGGACTCCTCCAGTTCTCAACTTCTGGGATAAAGAGACAGAGACTGGAAAAAGGCAGATTTGTCTGCAGCAGTATAAATTAGCTTGGCAAGCCCCTGGAAAAAAACTGGGGTGCTCTGAAAAATACCCGAGTCCCCCATCACGTTGAAAGAGTGAAGCAACAGGAAGATTCGTTTTCCTCGTCTCCCGTGAGAAATATAACTGGATCCCAATTTTAACCATGCTCTCTTTACCTGCTTTCAAGTCTGCCTTGGTTTTTTACGGGAGGTTGGCGGTGAAAACCCAGACAGACTACTAAACAGTCAGTGTCTTCCGAGATGGCTTGAAATTCCAGCTCTCCTTCTCACGGGGGAATGTGAGTACAAACCACTCGACTTGTACCATTATTAAAGGAAGCAGATCTCCTAGAAGAAAGCACCTTTCTGGGCCTCTCGGACCAAACCAGAAGCAGCTGAAATCTGGCAACTGTTCAAAGGTGAGGTCATTCATGCCCCTCTGCATTCTCGGAGATTCCTCCCCATCCTTGCACATGTCTGCCGCTAGGTGGCAGCACAGCCTCAGGGAGGAAGGCCTCTCACAAAGAGCTCAGTTCAGGCGTCCAGTCCAGGGCCCTGTGGACTTAGTGCAGGCCTGGCCAGCGGGGAGGGGGAGGGGGAGG